TTGTATCATTGCTTATAAACCAATGGAACTTGTTATAAGTGAAGAAGAGTAACAGAATTCATCAAATAATGAACCTAAAGATCAAATAGAACAACAAGAACAGTTCTCCGAAGAATATCAGATCAAGATCAAACTATTCCACATATAGAGATACCATACCGAACAGATACAAGTCTTCTGGAAATTACAGATCCGACATAAAATGAGCATAGAACAGTACAAAAAAACCTAGAAGATCAACCTGAAATGAGATAACAACTGAGAGAGAGAACAGAGCTAAACAAACCTGTTTTGAGGACTATGTTATGACAGTTGCTGCAGAAATAAGCGAATTAAAGAAGCCACTAAGCTACAAACATGCTATTACTTGCAATGATGAAGACAATTGGTTTTGGCACTGAATAAAGAAATACAGTCACTACAAGAAAATTGCACTTGGGAGATTAAGAGGTTACCACCAGGAAAAGAGGCAGTACCATGTAAGTAGGTGTATAAACTGAGAATCCATCCAGATGGGTCCATTGACAAGTACAAAGCTCGGCACAAAGAAAACGCGAATATTACGACCAGACTTAGAGTTCTGTAGCCAAGGTAGGAACATTTAGGTCACTGCTCAGTATTGCTGCTAGCTAGCAAGAATATGACACTCACTCAGTTCGATGTATGTACTGCATTTCTCTATGGAAAACTAAATAAATAAGTCTATAAGAAGCAACCAACGGAGTATGAAGATGGAATTAACATGGTCTGTAAACTTCAGCGCAGTCTTTATGGACTAGAATAAGCACCTAGATGTTGGAATCAAAGATTTGCCGATTACATAGAAGTTCTTGGTTTTAGAAGATCAGATATCGACCCTTGTTTCTTTATAAAAAAAAGTCGAAGAATACACACTTCTAATAGTATTGTAGATGATGGATTCCTGGCGTCAACCAACGACAAACTGAAGGATTTATTTTTAGAAAGTTTACGAGGAGAATTTAAAATTAGCATTAAACCAGCTTCTTATTTTTTTGGTTTAGAGATTAGAAGAACTGAAAATGGTGCAGTAGAAGTAAGCCAAACAGCTTATACAAGAAAAAGTCTTGACCGCTTTGGAATGCAAAATTGTAAACCTGTATTTACGCTAATGGTGAAAGAAGGTATACAATTAAGAGGAAGAATTGAACATTACTACATTTTCATATAGAGAGGATATTGGGGCCTTTTTGATGACAAGCATTCGACTATAAGACATAGCCTATGCAGTTAGGGTTGTTTTCCGGAAACGCTAGAATTACAGATACTTTTTATTTTGAATTTTGAATCCACGAAGTCAAAGGTCAGGGTTCTTCGAGTCAAATCGACTCTATGAACCTATAGAATCTATATGCGAGATGGCATGTTTTCTGCAAGAAAAGTTACTTTTTCTCAATATTTCGAGTGTACCGCTTATACTACTGTAAAATCCCGAATCATTGTTTTCCCAAAATATCCAAAGAAATAAATGCTCTAAAAATTCTCAAGCCCTACTTTACTCTATTTTTCTTTTTGAGGAAATTCGAGGCAAAATTGTAACTCAAAGTGCTTACTTTAAAAGTCATTTTTGTTTTTGATAAAAATGATCCATATAAATAAAGCTATTAAGAAAAATTCAGCCAGATTCCATTATTATTAGAGAAAACCCCCAAAATTATCTTCACACATCAAAATTAATTCATCCTGCATCACACTGTTAAATAACGAAATGTGTGTCAACCCTTTGCCTTTGCCACCCTCAATATTACTTATCGTGACTCACCCGCTACTTGACAATAAGGAAATCTAAGGGCTGGCCCCTCTTTCCCTAAAAACAGATCCTAGGGCTAAAATAGGAAGATATTAAGCGGAGCGTTTTCAAACCCTTCCGCTTCCGCAAATCTGTACATTTTTGGGGTTGAAATATGTGGGTTGAGGATTTGTCTATGGGATAACAGTAGGAATATATTTAATAATGAAATTATGTTTTCCAGGAATGAGGGCTGTGCTGTGCTTAGATATATTAAATTCAATGGAATAATAATTATGATAATTTGCATCAATATGTTTAAAATATCAATTTCCTAGATTTTGGGTTGCTTATTACCTAGGAAATAATATGTGAATTTTGTATAGGAAATTCAAAAAAAAAATCAACTTGTTGCATAATGTTCCATAAAATTATCCAGGTTTGTGGTTGCCACCAACTTATAAACGGAGTAAAATGGTTTGCTACCGAAAAACCCTTTACTACGATTTATAGCGCCTCATAAGATAATAAAATTTAACCCGTTTGGACTGTAAGAACTTCTGTCTTTATGACGGTTTGTCAATAAAGTTATCATTCTGTTTGATGGCCCTTGTGTAATAAAAATTAACTCTTTCAAAAGGATTTCGATCTTCAATCGTGTTTCTAATATTTACTCATAATCGAGAAAGTTCTTCGGTGAAGTCAGAAAGCTTAAGAGCCGAAAAGGCTCAAAGGGCTGCCAAAAATTTGCTTATTTTATTGGTCTCCAGCAGTGTCTTGACAAAACAGTCAATATAATAAAGCTTTTCAAACTTTTAACTCCTTTACCTAAAACTTTATGCAAAAATCCGAAAGGGTTGAAATTGCAAAATTCTTTGAAAGTATAAGAAAACGTCATAATGGAGCTTTACAAGGTAGACCTAGTGGCACAGTTTTCAGGTTTCCTAGTAAAAGGGTTAATTTTTCTACATTGTTTCAAAAATTCCTAATTAGAAACTTTATAAATCGAGGCTTTTTTTTCAGGATAATATCATGAACATGAAAATTATTGTTTTTCAGATATTTATAGATTTAGATGGACAAACTTGAAAATCGCTTGGGAAAGCTATTTTTCCGTGGCTGTAGATCACAACTTCAGAGATATTTGAATTGAAAGAGAATTGTTTTCTTGCTAATATTTTCCTTATTATTACTCATCTCATAACTTCCAATTTTTGTCTATTCCAGGCATTTGGTTCTCTGAAATTATTCTGAGGTTTTTAAATTCTTCTGACTCAAATTCAAAATACTGCTGGAAAGTGTTTTAGAGCCTTCTAAATGGCGTATTAAAGTTCTAAATTGTTCTAACTGGGCCTTAAGAGTTCTGAAGCATTTTAGAAACTTTGCAGTAATTTCTAAATTGTTCTGACATATATTTTTATAAGTATTTTAGAGCCATATTGAAGCTCCAATGTGTTCTAAATTCAAAAGAGTTCTGAAAAGTTTCCAGTTCTAAATTTAATCCTAATTGTTCTAAAATAACTCTGAAGTTTCTCTATTGTTCCAAAATGTTCCTGCGGATTAGATCTGGATTTGAACTGCTTTGGATGCTTATTAAAAGTCTAAAGTTTTACAGCAATCCAAATTCGCTGTTGTAACCTGAATCCTAAGATTCTGGAAAATGTTTCTGGAGATTCTAGAGTGTTGGAGTGTTTAGAAGCGTCCTAAAATGGGTTTCAAAATTCTGAATTGTTCTAAAATGCTTTTGAACACCTCATGAAGTCAAAAATTTATTGTGCAACATATACCACATATCAAAATTTCATTGAGTTTGACAGAAAACCAAAAACCCATAAGAGTTGTGCGGGGTCCTTTCCAATATGTTTTGAAGCGCTACAATGCTTTTGAAAATTCTAAATTGAAGTTTAATTGTTTTGAACTTTCTGAAAGGCTTATTAAAGTTCTAAAGTGTTCTGTAGCATTCTAAATGATATCCAGTGACTTCTAAACAAATTCTGTGAGAAATTTTTGAAGACATCCTAAAGACGTCCCTCAGATGTCCACAAATGAGATTCAAGACGTCTTGCTTACGACTTTGAGGTGTCTCAAAGACATCTTGAAGACGTATGTTACAAAACCCAACGTCTTTCAGAGACGCCTGCCTAAAGACATCTTTATAGGACTAAGGCATTCTAAAGACGTCTTTAACGAGATGCCTTGAAGACTCCTTTGAATTTCTTTACTAAACATAAACCATTATTCACTTTTAGGCCTGGTTGTACCAAATAGTTGTCTTTAAGATATGAATTTACTTATGAGCATCTTATGGACATCTTCAAAACAACGTCTTCCAGACGTCTTTTTTTTGGCCTTCATCAGACGAAAAATCGTCAAGATGCCGTTTCTGTTCTGTGAGTTCAATAATTGTGATAGTTTAAATTATTGCTCTACATCTCAAACAAAAATTTGCACGTCCTAAATGCCTTTTAACTCCTACAAGAAAATTCGCTCACGCTTGTTAAGGGCCAATATATTTTTATTTGCAAACCTTTTGGTACTTTCTATAGTACTTAGTTTTTTAAGAACCTTTTTTTTACCATTTCACGGAACAAATTTGCCCATTTTTTACGATGGTGCAATAATTTTGCAGAACTTTTATTGACGCAAGATTTCTTTTTACGCATCAGGTACCTCGAAAGCAAACGAGATCCGAGAATCGAGACTTTATTCAAATTGACTTTTGTAACCTAATTACCTGATCAACTTCCAGGTACTACAAGAGTTAACTTAGAATAAATTAAATTCCACTTATTATCTAGGTGTATAAAAACCCAAAACTCACACCGATTCATCAGTCCGAGTCTTAAAACTGTGAAGGCAGCATCTCGATCTCGAATCTCGTTGTAAAAAAAAAAAAACAGTACTTTCACCCTCTAACGGTACCGTTTTTAGGTTCCATAAAATTCGCAAATTTGCCAAAGACCGCCTACTGCGAAGAGTGGGGCGAAACAGGACCCTTTCACCCTATTATCTGCAAAGGGTTGAAACTGGAATTAGTTTTCTGTTCGCAGCATTTGAAGCAACACAACAAATTTAAGTGAAACATTTTTAAAATTTGAAATCTCGTGCTAAGGATTATAAAGAAAAAAATAACTGAAAATGGTAAGTTAACATTATAGTTTTTATTATTCTATCGTAGACTTTTGAAGTTTAAATTCTTGGGAATTCTTCTGATGTCAATTATTCTTTGCAGATTCACTCAACATTTTCTCATATGATTCCAATGGCTCACATGAATTATTACAACAACAATTACAAACAAGTACCGGCCGATTATGTGTTGGACTTGTCCGTTAAAACCAAAAGAGTTTCATCGCCTGACTACACCTACGGATACCCCAGCCCTAAATTTAGCCCCACCGAATGCCTCAAACACAGTCCATTAGGAAGTCCAACCTTGGAAGTGCAAATGGACATGTCTTTATCGCCTAATGAAGTTTACAGTTCCAGTCCTTGCTTGTCTTCGCCTAAAAGTACCCAATCTGAAACTTCTTACCAATCCTCAGACATCGATTCTTCACCTAGATGCAAAAGAAAACCGTCCAGGCCTTTTAAATCAATGCCCCAAGAATCTATGGCCCTGTCAACAACAATCATAGACCAACTAGATTGTTCAAACTCGACAGCATTTATAATCGACAACCAAGAAATCGGTCCAGAAGAAACCAAAAGACTGATAGAAGATTCGGCTAGAAAATACGCAGAATTCCGCGAAAAAATGCTGACGCAATTAAGCAACAATAACAACACCAATTTGAACATGAGGCGGATGCAAAATAACGGCATCAAAGCTCAAGACGAAGAGTATCTGGAAAAGAGACGCAAAAATAATCAGGCAGCCAAAAGGTCGCGGGACGCCAGGCGGAATAAGCAAGACGAAATCGCAATCAGGGCCAGTTTTCTGGAACAAGAAAACATTATGTTGAAGTACAAAGTCAAATCGGAAATTGAGGATTTGGAAAGGCTGAGGCAAATGGAATTGGCTAGTTCAACACCTGCATCATTATAATTTTTGTATTTTTAGAGGTTGGTGCTTAAGTTTAATCGTTGTGATATTTTTATTTTGTATAATGTATATAGGTATAGTGTGCTTGACTGATTATTGTAAAACAATAAATTTATTTTGTTTAATGAATTACAGATGTTGTTTTTTATTTTAAATATTTCAATTTGAGGACTGAGCCCTCTAGTTCTTTTGGTTCATCAATTATGTTTTTCAATCTTTCTCGAAATCACTTTCAAGTAAAATCGTTTCTAACTTTAAAAGCGATTCTCTGCCTCTTTTCACTCCAAATGTTTCAAAATTCTTATATCGACAGTTTTTCGAAAAATTATCAATAGTAATATAACTAGTGCAATGGAAATTATTGATAATTTTTGGGAAATTTGCCCGAATGCATTTTTAGTTGAAAAAGAGCACGAGTGCACGTAGTGCACAAGTGCCTTTTTCAGTTAAAAACGCATGAGTGCAAATTTGTCGAAAATTATAAATATATTTCTATTGCACGAGTTGTATTTAATGAGAGAATTTCATAAATCAAAAATTTAAATTTTTTGTCAAAAAATGTCAAAACACCAGTTTTTGCACCAGTTACTATGCAATTATCTGATAATTTGCACTAGTGCAAATTTTTAGTTGAAAAAGAGCACAAGTAAACGCATGAGTGCAAATTTGTCAAAAATTATAGATATACGTAATATTTCCATTGCACGAGTTGTATTTTATGAGAGAATTTCATACATCTGTCAAAACTGACATTCCAAGAATAAACTGGCATGTTTTGATTGTTGAATTGAACGAATCAGATTGAAATTACGCGGTAATTTGCACAAGTGCAAATTATCGGATAATTGCGTAGTAACTTAACTGGTGCGAGAACTGGTGTTTTTATATATTTTGACAAAAAATTTAAATTTTTGTTTTATGAAATTATCTCATAAAATACAACTCGTGCAATAGAAATTTATCTATAATTTTCGACAAATTTGCACTCATGCGTTTTTAACTGAAAAAGGCACTCGTGCACTTCAACTAAAAATGCATTCGGGCAAATTTGCCAAAAATTATCGATAATTTCCATTGCACTCGTTATATTACTATCGAGAATTTCATACATCTGTCAAAACTGACATTCCAACAATAAACTGTCATGTTTTGATTGTTGATTTGAACCAATCAGATTGGAATTACGCGATAATTTGCATTAGTGCAAATTATCGAATCGGATAATTGCATAGTAACTGGTGCGAGAACTGATGTTTTGACATTTTTTGACAAAAAATTTAAATTTTTGATTCATGAAATTCTCTCATAAAATATACCACGTGCAATGGAAAAAAAAATATCGACAAATTTGTAATCGATAATTTCCATTGCACTCGTTATATCACTATTGATAATTTGCACTAGTGCAAATTATCACGTAATCGCAATCTGATTGGTTCAAGTCAACAATCAAAACATGTCAGTTTATTGTTGGGACTTATTCAAAATTAATCTATCAAAAATTGACATATTCAATTAATCACAAATTAGCAATGGCTAGTTAAACTTTTTTTGGTACTCTTGCTTTGAAATTATTTTGTTTCAATATTGTCATAACGATAAGTTTTGTTTTTGTAACAAGTTGAAAGATAATAGAACAAATCGAGTCTTTTTCAATATACCGTCCCTTCAAATTCATTCTTTCTAATAAGCAAATTCTGCAAGTGCGGATCCCGAAAATGGTATTGATTATAAGGTTCATATTATCAATATATTCATTGGTCCTCATCATTTATTGGCGTATCCTGACCGACGACGAAGTGCAGTTAGCTGATAAAGGGACCCTTTCAAGCTCAAGTCAAGGTAGCAAGTATATACTCCATGGTCATTTAATAATATAGAAGCAAACATTTTTCCTCTATATTATCTACATTATAATAATAATAATAATACAATTCGGAAATGCCGCATCGGTTTTGGGAACAATGCCAAAAGAAACAGCTCTGGATGAGATTTTTTTACTTTAGTTTTTAAGTTATTTATATGATATATATATTATTTTTTTTACTACTAACCTGAGAAATTGTCATTATTCAATCTATTTTTCTAGGAAAAAAATGAATTTCTCTCCCTAGGTGAATAATGAAAATAATGAAAAAATACCTAGGTTAATAATGAAAATGACGTCATGACGCAAGGATATTGTCATGTTTCTATTGGTTCAATTTCATTTCCATACGTCAATTTGAAAAAAAATACAGGTTTCTGTAGGTACATAGGAAGTTATCATAAGCTGTTCATAGAGGGCAGCACTTTCAAGAGGGCGTTCAAAAAAATAATTGGAGCACAGATTTTAAACAAATTTTTCATTTTCTACTAGCAGTAGTAAAAAAAATTCTATATATTCCTCGGTAGAGAAAGTCATTATATACCTCACTCATTATAAACCTCAGCGCGAGCGCCTCGGTTTATAAAAGCGCTCGGTATATAAGGACCAACTTCTCTACCTAGGTATATAATATACTATTTTCTTTTAAGGTACCGTTTATAATATAGCCTTACATAATAATAATAATAATAATAATGTCTTTATTTGTAAATTACGAGTCTTTACAAAAAGGCGAAGTTGAAGCTAAGCTTCCTTACTTAACCTACATCAAATTTAGCTTACATAACATTGTGTTTTACAATATAGGTAATTTAAATATAAATTTTTACATATAGGTAGACATTTATTTAAAGAAAAACCCTAATTCAAAATGAACAATAATGAAAAAAAAAATAATTTCTTTATTCTCTCAATCATAATACAATTGAAAGAAGAAAAATCTCTTAAATTTAACCCAAATTTCAGTATACAATAATAATTGTTAACAAACAAAAAAAAATAAAAAAATAAAAAACAGAAATACAATAGAAAAACAAAAACAAAGGTTAACGCAGGGATGAGGATGAGGCCGCATTTATCAGCATACTGATGAAAATTATTACATTATTATTTGTGGCAAAATTTTCAGAATTGCTCTCTTGAATCTTGGATGAGGTAGGAGCTTAAGCTCCAATGGAACTTTGTTATAATACAAAGAAACTTGCTAACTGAACGATCTTTCAAATAGAGCAGTTGTGTGAGCGGGTGGAGTTATTATGCATTTATGGCGTAAATCCAGATTATGTGCATCGTGTCAGAATTTAATTTTTTGGTACAAATAATTGGGACATTTTTTTAGGATTACTTTATTATACAAGACCAAACTGTGAATAATTCTCCTTTCCTTCATATTCAACCAGCCAATTTCACAAAGCTTTGCACTAACCCCCCTGTCATAACGTCTAATACCTCCCACCAATCGTACACAGCAATTTTGTATAAGTTGTATTCGTCTCACGTCCCTTTCCAACAGACAGAGACCATATAAAATGTCGCAAAAATTAAACTGCGATAGTACTAAGCTATCACATAGAGTTTTTTCCAATTCAGTATTCAACAATTGTCTTTGATTGAATATCAATTTCAGGTTGGTAAACGCCTTCTTGATGCAAAGATTAACGTGCTCTGAAAATCTTAGTTCAACATCAAGCTGCAACCCCAAATTTCTCGCACTAGTGGAACATTTGAGTATTTCGTTACCAATACCAACACGCAGTAAATCCTGATTGCTAATCCTACACTGTGCACGGCCAAATAGAAGAGCTTGACATTTTTTAGGATTCAGATCCAGACAATGATTTAAAGAAACACTTTCAAGAACATTGAGGTCATTTGTTAATTTGGCATTGGCCTCCAAAATATCCTCTGGGCGAAAAGATATACTGGGTGTCATCAGCATAATAGTGGACAGAAACATGTTTTAATTTAGCAGCCATTTGGGATATATATAACCTGAATAGTAGTGGTCCTAGAATAGATCCCTGAGGAACGCCCGCGGTTATTCAAATTCTCAGAAACCATACCATGTAGTTTAACTGATTGTGTTCTACCTGAAAGGTAAATATCAAGAAGCCGACAAGCATGATATCCGAAACCAAGGTAGCCAAGAATAGCTAGAAGCATTCCATGATTTAATCTGTCAAAAGCCTTCGAGTAATCGAGAAGTACCAGCGCTGTCAACTCACCTCGATCCGATGCCGCCAAAATATCATCTGTGACCCTCAACAACGCAGTGGCGCAGCTGTGGTTGCTACGGAAGCCAGATTGTTCCGGATGAAAGATCCCACTTCGCTCAGCATGTTCTCGAATTTGACGTTCCAATATCCTTTCAATTACCGAACCCGGAAAAGTGTTAGTTTCGATCATGCAGACATTGACCATGGTGTAACGACGTTACGTAATTTTTCTTTTGTTTTAAAAGGTACCGCGAGTTCAAATGCATATTTCAATAATATTATTTTCAATCCTCAAATAAATTATTAATTTTACGCGTGACCTCGAATTGAGTGTACGATTTCCTGCCGCCGCCAGCAGACGCATCGCTTGCTTGGGGAAGCGCTGTGGTCTTTTGGTCATGCTCGGTTCCCCACTGCCTTAACATGTGACGCCGGCCGCCGCTCACCCATATTTAAGGCGGCGAGCTCTGCAAAACTGGGAGTCCGCCGACAGCAGCCTGCCAGCTTCAAGACTAGAACACCGCACCGACCAGCCGAAGCCAACACCGAGGTAAGCCAGTGGGATCGCCCAGTAACAGTTCCCAGAGTGCCTCGAGCCGCGTTTCAGGTTGGGTAAGGATGTGGTAAGAGATAGTTTTATACTTGCTCCTTTTTCTTCACCCCTGGTTGATGTCCGGGTGACCGTCTTTCTCCACTCTTGGGTGTTTTCCGGGTGGCCTGTCTTTCATGCATTCTTGGTTGATGGCCGAATGCATTCTTTTTCTTCACCCTTGGTTGATGCCCTGGTGCCTGTCTTTCTCCGCTCTTGGTTGATTACCGGGTGGTCTGTCTTTCTTGCATTCTTGGTTGATGGCCGAATGCATTCTTTTCTTCACCCTTGGTTGATGACCGGGTGATTGTTTTTCCTTCACTCTTGGTTG